ATTATCGATACGATCTCTTCTTCTCCTTTCTTTTTCTCTCTGCGTCCTTTTTTGTCTTCAATGTAATCGCACGCGAGTTACGTGTGTTCGAAATCTGACGGCACGGAGGGCAAGGAGGAGGAGAGAAGGGGAAGGAGGAGACTTTTGCTGAAGTGGCGCCAATTAAATTATTACAGCGCGTAACACGCGGCCCGGCCGTAAACGGCGGCCAGGGGAATATTTCGTTTCCGTGAGCGCGCGCGTCAGGGCGAATTCGCGCGTTTCCCGGATCCGTTATGAATAGCTGAATCGCTCTCGCGCGATCCGCTCGATGCGACGGCATCGTCCGCTACTTTGTTTCGCAAAATTGGCAGACGGACGTTGAAATAACAAAAAAAAAAAAACGACGCGCCGGGGGGTGGCACAACGGTGGCGCGGCCCAAAAGGAAGAAAGGATAAAATGGAAGAATAGCGGCCGGCGATAGAAATTTCGCGCAATCTATACGGTAATTGAAGCTTCCATTATTTTTCCGGCAGAGAGCTCGCGTGCGTACAACCGACCGGGCTCTTTTCGTCGTATCTCTCTTTGTCCGCCCCTACAGCCCCTCCCTCCCTCCCCTCCCTTCTTCATCTCATTCTATCCATCTCGTTCTGCGCGTCTCGTCAAAATTTCATACTTTTTTTTTCCCGTCCCTTTCGTCGATGTGTTTTCAAAACCGCGCGCCCCCGCTCCGACGGTCCTGTCGCGAAGGAAAAATCAACGGGACGAGAGCAAGCCCGGTCAAAATTGAGAAACATCCTCGGCGACGAACGCGTCGCGCGATTTCTGTTAATAACATCGAACCGAAAACGCTTTTGTTTTCGATCAGCGACTGAAAACGAAATATTTTCGCAGTGCGTTCTCGTCGTACTTGCGTTTCTGCTGTGTTTCTTCCCCTTAATTCCCTTCCGGTGGGACGCCTCCGTCTCTCTTTCTCTCTGTTGTTTAATCACATGAAATTAGTCCAACCTCTGAACATCATCGGCAAGAGTAACGATGCTCCCATGCTTTTATGCGCGGGTGGTGTATTAATTAACCGCCCATACGGCCGCCAACGCCGTATGCGCGCTAATCGTGCGTAATGTCGCCGGTTAACACATTGTTGTTAACGCATTCCGCATTCGCTAATATAATTCCAATTTAATACACAAGTGTGTACAGAGATGATCACATGCTGACTATATATCTATATATTTATATGTATATAATATATATGCATTATACTTCTCTCGCTGTGTGGGGTGCGATTGCACTGCACAGTGCCTGTGTGTGTCTCGGGGAAATTCGAATCGAGTGCAGCGTGAATCAAATACATCGGGGATCGGGAGAGATTTCGGTACTGACGAGATTTTAATCGGTAACACGTTTTCCCCGAGCGAAATATGCGAGAGAGCGCGGAATATAAGAAAATGGGAGAACTCAACGAGCGGGACCGTGAAGCGTCAGGTTCGTCCGCCGTTCGTGAAATCGCGCTTACCCTCAACTCTCTCGTCTCCGAAGGTGCCGCAGCAGCCAGCATTTCCCATGAAACTCGGACAACGCCCGGCGCCCTCCACTAGTCTCAAATAAATTCGTCCGCTAAGGGTAGCTAGTTCGAATTCAGATTTAAAAGCTGCGAAGAGCATCCGATTTCCGAGTTTCCTAAGAAATCCCGGCTAAAGTCGCTACGGCGTTCTTCGGATGCAAAGGTTAAAAAATATCATTTCGAAGGATCGGAAAAAAATCGTCTCTCTTTTCCAATTTTCCTTCTCAATTTCTTTCCCCAGGGGTAAAAAAAAAAATTCGTTCGAAAAATTCACGTAAAAACCTGTCGCATTTACTTCTTACCGTAGAAGGTAATTGCGTTGCACTCGACTGAAGTTAAATTTAAGTTAGATTTCGGTAAAGTTTAGAAAGAGGCAAATTTCGCAGGTTTTTTATCAACCGAACACACGTGTATTTTTTCGCCCTTGGAAAAGAAGCCGAAAAGTATGCGGAAAGAAAAAGCCGGTTTTTTTGGTTTTAAACCGTTCTCCGGTAAACGGTTCCCCGAAGTCCCCTCGGTTCTGCGAAGTTAACGCGCCGCGGTATCGATAGCCGAGGCGGAACTACTACGTTTCGTAGCAACACTAGCGGGGGCAGAACTTCGGGATCGCAAAGCCGCTGTTTACGCCGAGAGCGATTCCAGCGGGTCTCAGGTACACGCGGACTGCGCGGCCACTAATCGCGGCGTATCGAGGTAAGCTTGAAAAAAGTCACGGTGAGCCGGGGAGCGCTAAGCGTGCCATTAGATCGGATAACATGTGGACCTCGCGCGATACAAGCTTGCATGCGCTTAACTGCACCGCAATCGCGAGATCGACCTGCTTTGCCCACCTGCCTACCGACCGGCCGGTCGGCAGCACGCACGCCGATAAAAAGGGGTCTCAGGCCTCGCGAAATATGTATCAGCGGTGCTTACACCCGGAAGATATTTCGGTCGTTATCGGGCGAAAGAGTTACAGCGGTAAAAGTCGCGGTGTTATTTACGTGGCGCGAACTCGGTCAGCCTGACAAGCACGATTCTCGAATCCGCGTTGATGCACCGGGGACACTCACGCGCCCTGTATCCTCCAGATACGGAGATTTCGGGAGTTCTGTATGTATTTTGATCTTATACTTCGGAAAGAGGTAAGACATTTTTTTATATTTTAAGAATTTTATATTTATATGTGTTAGGTTCGCATGAAAACGTAAGCGGTAAGACCGTAAGTAGTAAACAAATTGATCAATTACAGTCGGTTATCTTTCGACCGTAAGGAGAATAATCGGCCGTGACTGGTCAATTTTCTTACTCGTTCGAGTCTTACTGCTTACGTTTTTCTGTGTGTCACGGCTTGAATAATTCACGACTTATCAACCGTAAGATCTGAATTTTCCGCTTTTAGATCCACTTGAGTGCCGAACTGAGATTAACACATTCGCTACCGCGCTTAAATTAAATGTCACTCGCTAAAACCGACGCCATATTTCTAATAGCTATATAGTCCGTGTGTTTTGCACACGTGAAATGTGTACACGGAAAAAAATAATTTGCCGGCACAGCGAGTTTTATGTTGCCGCCGCAAAATCTGTCAGTTAACTGCATGGACGCGAATTTGTGAAGGATAACTGCCTTTCGCCGAGTCATTTTGCTGAATTTACAAATTATTCTGCTATGAGAATAAATATAGAAAAACACAATTTTGCTCCGACGTCGAATTAATCTGTCCGGATTCATTCAGAGCAGAATATTGTCTATCCCGACGACAAAATTGCTCCCGCTTTAATTACGAAGTATTCGCTGATTTAATTATGCCGAACTAAACTTATTGCCGTCGCAAGCATAGTTTCGTTTACAACGGGGCGAAATCATTTTTCTCCGTGTACTAAATAATAAGTATTTTACATAATGCATCATGCACGTGTAACGCCGCGGTAGCGGACGTGTTTAAGGCCGTATGTAGCGAGACGTAAGAAGTAAGCACATTGGATTCTTACCGTAATCGACCGTGGTTGGTCAATTAGCTCGTTGCTTACATCACACTGCATTACTCGACGGTTCTCGTCGAACGAGACGGCCCTTTAAAGGGACACGTGCGCGCAATAACGTTCCGGCTTGCGCGTGAACGACGTACCGCGACTCGCGCGTATCGAATCACTTCGCGACGAGCTACCGCCGGGCATTCTCGCGCACGTCTCCGCCACGGTAATTAATCCGGCATCGTGAGCTACAGCGGTAGCTCCCCCGTCCCGAAATTGTCCCGGCGTCCAATTTCGAGAATCGTACATCGCGCGGTGTAATCGAGCCGGCATGAGGTATATTGCGCAAATATATGCGCCGAGCAGACGCGCTCGTACGACACGGAGGAACGAATATGTACAAGCGTCGCGCGAGGGATGTAAAACGGCGGGGGGAAACGGCGAGCAAACGAGAAACGGAGAAATGCGATTAAGCGACAGTCAGCGGGTACATTGCGTGTCCCGATCTCCGGCGATGCGCGCGATTGCCACGCGCTCGGATCTTTCCCTTCCTCTCTCCGCTGTATCAACGACAATGTTGCCTCACTGCCCCCTTCTTCGGTCGTCGATCCTCTGCAAATTGCACTCTCGGAATTAGCGACGCGCGGTTATCTCGAGACCGTTGCAGTCGCGGGATTCGCGACGACCGGCCGAGAATCCGCTGCTGTCCGTCGCGACGATTCCGCGAATTAACCGCGCTGATTACCCCTTCCCCTTAATCCCCTTAAGGCACATCGGACAAGATTTTTATAAATAGAATATACTTGCGTATTTCACAAATAACTTCATATAAATTCGAGTGTCAACGATTTTGCTTCACATGCGATCGCACATATTGATCTTCAGCTGGAGAGACACTATTTCATGGGTTAGAACGGAAAAATATAGCTTCGCTCAGGATGGATTGATAATATTATATTGGCGGAATTTTTTTTACCAACAGACGAACTTTTAGGAAGGTCTAAATTTAACGTACATTATTACATATATCAGGCCTTAAAGGGTTAAAAAGTCGCAACTCATTGCACGAGCCTTCGTGCGTTATCTCGATGAGGTGGCATTTATCAATTAGATCCATCGCATGAAAAAAATCATTTCCATCGTGTCTCCCGTGATCCGCGTATTCGCGACTATTGGAACGCTCGTCGGCTCTATCTCCCTGCAAGGATCGAGTGCCCGGGGAAGGGGGACTCTGTCGGATTTGCTGGTGTAATTGTCGTTATATCGTCGCGCACACACGGTCCGACGAGAAGCGGAGAATCGAGTAACACAGGCCGTTCCCTCGCGGGGAGACGCGACTCCTCTTGGCAATCGCGCGAGCCGGATAAGTGGGTTAAACCTCTAAAGCGTGACATAGGCACCGCCGGTGTGAGATCGGCCGATGTGATATTTATAAGATAATACATGTGTGTATGTATGTTATGTGCATGTACATGTGTATATATATATGTACAAATAATACCTAGGCGAACGCCACTTCGCGTTAAGATGTCGCCACCCCGAGCCGGGACTGCCGTACTGCAACAGACACCCGAAACACTGTCATCATATGCGTTTAGCAAACGAACAAGAGAAGGGCTCTTTACCGATCCGGTGATGCATGCCGGTAAAGAGTGTTGCAAGAAAACGGTAACACGCTTCGTCAAACAACACGTGACAACCCGGCCGACCGGTCTCGAGCGCGAGAAGTGCGAATATCTCGCTCGGCGCGCCCTTCGCGCGAAACACGAGGGAGAAAATTGTCCTATCGAGGGCGAAATTATCCCGGCGATTTTTCACGAGGGTCATTACGGGGCCGTTGAATTCCTTCGGACGCGCGCGCGGAAGTTATCCTAACTGTAAATTGTCCGACGATCGTTTCTCCGCTTTTCCGCGACGAGGGAGAAAAAGAGACGCAATGTCTCGCAATCTTCGCGAAACGATCGTCGGACAATTTTCAGTTTATCCGCGACGACGAATAGCGAGCGCGCGGGATCGATCGTTTGTCGTTGGCGAACAAAAAGCACATTACACGATTAAAAGGACGTACTCTGAAACGCGCGCGCACATCCACGGTGCAATCGTAATCCGCCCCGTAAAATAGTAATCCCGGCCGCGTGGCGGGAATAAACGCGAAAGCGAGCGGGCGCGAGAGCCGGAGACGTAAAATATCCTCGCGGATCACCGGGCGCGCGTCGCTTTTTAATTGTCTTTCGTTCTCGCGCCGGTTTCGCCAAATTGTTTCGCCCTATCGAGCGCACCGGCAGATTCCATCGGTGCCGGCCGGCGCCGCAATTTTCTTTTTACGCCGGGCCGCGATTAAACCACCGCCGATTTTATCAGTCGCGCCGCCGTTATCAAACCGGAAATTCGACTCGAACTAAAATATATATATATACGCGTATGCATGAATTTCTCTCCCTCACGTTCCTTCAAATTCCGAATATATTTTGCAATAATCGCGGGGGTTAAAAGGGTACCCTTTTATTCGACGTTACGTTCCGTAACGGCGAGGGAAAAAAAATCATTCCGCGCGTTTCAACCCGATCCGCGCGAAACGCCGCGCGCCGGCGATAATAATAACGGATCAAAAGGCATCGCGTTTCGGCGTTTCCAATTTATTTCCCTCGCACTTCTCGCGCTCGCGCATTTCGGCCGAGCGATGCGGCATGCCTCGAAACGCAATATGCATCAGTCATCTCCCTCTAACTCACACCCCCATGTCTCTCTCTATCTCGTGAGCCGCTCCCGCGATCGACGTTACGAGTCCTCAGACTCTCACGGCATATATTCGCTACGGAATTGATACGCGCCGTAAGGTACCGATCTCGTATCACCCGAGAGGCGGGAAATTTCCAAGGGTTCTCAAACCTCGCCGCGTCCGGCGAATTATTTTCGCGGTTGGTGATCCGCCAACTCGTAATCACTTCCGCGTGTCTGGCGGGAGGCCCCCCCGTAATTTATCGACGGTAAAGCGCAATCGTCGTCTCCATCTCGCCCCGTGACATTTTTTGCTCACCACCGGTTACAGAGGCCGGTTTACAGACGGGGAGACGACAAAGAAGAGCCCGATGCGCCGTCGCGTCTAAGAGATTTAATATGCATTACGAACGTAATAGCGGCGCAGACGCGCGGGGAGCGGCTCGATAGCGGCGAGTCGTAAATTTTATGTCGCCGTGGTTAGTGGGAAATCTCCATGAAACTGGCAAAGACAGACACAACGGCGCGCGCCGCTTGTTAGTCATCAAACAGATGCGGGAGTCATTAATCTAACGCACGTGTTCGCCCAGTGGACGAGCGAGCGAGCGAACGAGCGTGTGTGAGTGAGCGAGAGGTTTCGCGTTCTCGGAGATGTAATTTTAGCGCGCGCGTGTCGCGCGACTAAGAGGAAAATCGCGAGCGGCGAAAAACCGCGGCGGGACGAGAAATTTCTCTCGCGCGCGAGAGAAAAAAGCGACGAGAGCGTCAAAGCTTCTCGCCGCTCGTCGTTGTCGACGAGCTTTTATCGGTTAAACAGAGCCGATAAACTCGGGGCACTCGTGATCCTCTCACTGTGACAATTACAACGATCGCTCCGCGCGGTTTAATTCTCCTCTCGCGTAAATTCTCGAGCGGTGACACGCTGGCAGGGAAGAGGGAGCGGGAAATGACCCGACGAAGACGAGAACAACGCTGGATAAACGGAACATCGAAGAGATAATCAAGATTCCCTCCCTCTCCCCTCTCTCACTCTCTTTCTCTTCGTGTGAATAAAATTTATCGTATTATCCGAATCTCGTGCCCGCTTAATTACGTTAATCAATTACGTTTCGCCTGGCAGGATACGTTAACGCGAGCGAAGAACGGAATCGGTTTTCAGATTGATCCCCCGATTCATTCGCGGCCGGCGGTGTTATTATCGAAAAATCAACCGCCCGGATGAGTATTTGTAATTCCCGCTAATGGCGGAACGCGACAAATCACAGGCTCGTGATGCTCAACGGGGCGACAAATGCGCGATTTACTTTGTGAAATCCGACGTGATGCGATCTTCAAAGATACGAATTGCGAGAGAGGCTTTTCTCCCCCCCCCCCCTTCCGGCGCNCCCGTGATATAACCCGCGCCACCGCCCACCTACCCCACTCGGCATCGACAATTAACATTTCACGGGTGCGCGAACGCTGCACTGGGATATTATTTTAAAAGGCCGCGCAATCCGCGGATAAATATTAGCAATTTCGCACCGGCTGCGCGAACGTACGCAGGCTCATTAACGCGACTCGCATCGTTAATCCGCCCGATGAAAGAGTGGATTGTTCACAGGCCGCAGGGGGGGGAGAAGGGGCGGCGATTTGCATTTTAAAAATAACACCGGCCGACCGCGCATAACTCGCGTTTTTGTCATCGTTCTGACACCCGGCGCCGATCTTTGCATTAGCACGTCGTAAAACTTCGCGGGAAGCGAAATCCGCTGGTAATTCGCGCCGACCGCGCAACTACGACGCGAACCCCGGAAATTGGGCGCCGAGGCGGGGATGCATCCGTGAAAATGCCGTTTATCCTGGCGGGTGGGTCGTTCGAAAATTCGGAAGTATGAAGTATCCTCGAGAGGAGATCCCGGCGCGGCTCCTCGGATTTCGGCGGGATTCCGCGCGATTAATGGCGCGACGAATTCGCGGCGGAGAGTCCCGGGATTCCAAGACCCCCGCCGGCTGAAAGGGCCACTCCGGGAACTCGATCCGACGAAACGACCGACCCCGGAGCACGAGATCCTGAGGAAATTCGAGGACCCCGGCACCGACGGAGGTTTTTTCCCCGATTGAAACTCGCCCGATACGCTGCGCGTCGCTGAGAATGATCTTCTCCCGACGTACGCGTCGTAAATACGCGGAGGGGAAATAGAAAAAAAAAAGAAGAGAAAACCTCGAAAATAAACGATTGTAACGCTCTTTGATTTAAATAAAAATTTAAGAGAGAGAGAGAGAGAGGACGATAACTGCCAACTGCAGATCTAATTTGCACATATATTTGTAATATTTCCATCATATTTTGTGCTGATTCTTTGATCTGTCGCGGCTTTTATCGCAGGAGCACAGCGTTCGTTGTTTGCTTCTCGAAGCTTGCGCTGCGTTGTTGATCACACCGAAAAGATTGTCACGCGTTTACATTGAAAACGGTCCAACAGAAGGATCGAAACGCACGAATTCTAATTATATTATCCGTGTAACGAGAATTTCATCCAAATTATTTTACGCACTTCTTATATCTTACAGCGTTTGGCTCTCACAGGCCTGATTTTAATTTAAATTCGACGCGCAAATTACGATCTGAAATTGACTGATGTCGCACAATTCCTTATATTTTTATAGAAAACACCTTTTTCTTCGGAAGGAAAGAGAGATAAGGTTGTATTCAGCTTGTCGGTCGGATTTTCTGGACGGGCGAGTTATAATAGAGAGAAAGAAAGCCGGTGTGCTCGGAAAGAGCAAAAAAGATACGACCGCCCGCGCGAATGGCGGTCTCAGACGCGCGATTCATTCGCGTAAGACGTCAGTCAGGTTCGGTTGCGCCGGGCGTGTGTTAAGCTGTCTTCGTGCTGACGGTTAACGTTGGCAGGACGTCACGCGAGCCCGAACAAAGCTCCCGGAGCTTTCTCTCCCCGCTCCGGTGGAAATTAACGCGTCACGACTTCATCGGATTTGATAGGATGCATCTAAACCTCATCGTCCCGCCCGTCGAGGGTGGTTCTCGATGAGGTGCGCGCGGACGGGTGTTGCGTACGTCGCGAAATGCCCGCGATGCGCTCCGAGGAGTCACGCGATTCCGCGCGCGCGCGCGACGTCGCGATTCGTTAACTGCACGTTCACTAGGATCCACGGTATCCATCGGCTGCGCGAAGGGAGTATTATTATTATTATTCTCATTTGAAACGTTTCGTAGGTAATTTTTAGATTTTTCTTTTTTTTCTAATTATAAGACATACAATTCTGAAGTTTTGTGTTTAGCTGTGTTTTAACTGTATACGGTAATTTTTACGTATTATTATGTTCAATATTAATAAAGTCATAATCTTGCGCTGAACGAGAATTACGCTTGCATGGTTGCCACGATTCCGGACGTTGTAAGCTTCCGAGGTCAAAAACGGCGGAAAATGATTAAACTACAAGCTTGCAGTTATTGTCCCCACCACGATAAAGAGTAAGAAGTGCTTTTTACGAAATAACACGATTCAAAAAGGAAAAATTGATTTCTGACTAGTTCTTTTTCAGCTTCGGGAATCCTTAAGAAATCGAAATATTCAAGATACTGGTTTTACCGTGGTAGGGATGATAGCCATAAGTTTATAGTTTAATCATTTTCTTGCCGTTTTGCTTTCGGAGGCCCACAACATCTGAAATCGTTATCACTTTCGCGTTCGGCCCTGACAGAATTATTTATATATAACTTTATTGATATTGAAAGAGCGATAATGTGTGGAAATTATTACATATAGTTAAAGCAGAAATAAATATTTATATCAAAATATCAGAACTGTGTCTTTCAGTTTTTTCAAAAGGAT